CTTTGCTTGAATGCGTCTTTGAGGATGTTTGCTACCTTGCTCAACATGCTGATTTCCTGCTTTCTCACTGATCGCATACACAGCTCGGACTGGTGTTTTCCTCGGCTCTGGAACACTAAATTGCTGTGTGGTAAAATAAATTAAAGCTGTAGATCCTTTCAAAGTTTGATGTATGGGTGGATGGTATCAATGAGCAATTTAGCCAAGGTCTTAGACGACCTAGTGTTGAATAAATTATAGAGCTGTGGCAGCTGTGCTTAACTATGAACTTTCAATTTAGTAAGTTATAGGTGTTCCTTATTGCACGCTGCACATTTCGAATCCTCCTTTGATTATGAGACGGTAATCATATTCTTGGGTCTTCTTTGTTAGATGCTCGTCCTGTGAGCTGATCTTTTCCTTACCACCTGTTTTACAGAACAGCATTGTTTTACTTGGTGTGCAGATGGTGCACATCTGTTAGGACCAAGATCTTTTGTGTGCATGTGCGTATCCGCTCTCTTGCCCACCCACACCACAAGGTTAAACTCTCCAAGCGTGTGCCACTGAATTTGCGCGTCCCTGCGTTTCTTGCAGCAGTCACCCACTCTTCCACCTGGCCGTACAGCGTCAGGAAAGAGTTGTTTCCTTGGCTTCTTCTTTGGAGCGCGGCGGATTTCCTGTAGAGGAGCCAGGTCACGCTGAGATCACAGGCTACTGTGCTGCCCCCTCCTATGCATGGAAACGAGTAACAATAACTACCACTGCAGGGCAAGATATGAAACGATTTTTTGGAAAATGACTTCGCAAATGTGCAAAAGGCGGCACGATGACACGGCTAAGAGCCCCTGAGTAAGATGATCATTAATTGGGGACAGCCTTTTATCTTCCAGTAGCTGGGTGGGCTCCAGGCCATACATTACAGCTTCATCACCATCTATCCTGACATTAAAGTATGTTCAGTCTCTCCTCAAAGTACTCCACCCTTGAAATTCAGGTCACCAACCTCCTGTGCTACCAGAGGCTGGTGGTAAAAGAACTGAAGGCACTATTTTCTGCTGCTTACCTCATGCCAGTGTGGCTTTGTGTTCACCGCTGCCACGTGCACGTCCAAATTACAGCCTGCAGGCAGATGTCTAGGGGAGGTGCCAAGCAGCGCTTACAGCCCAAGGCCTGATCCCAGCCTAACCCCCATCTCCACGCACTGATCAGGCAGGCCTCTGGGGGGTTTTTAGTCCTCACTCTCTGTTTTCTCTCTCAAGGTCTTGATGCTTCATCACTTCACAACTCTAATTGCTGTTTAGACTCATTTCCCAGCTTTATGTTGCTCTCTTATTTGTAAATATGCACATTTTAATTTATTTTTTGTCCATTTAATAAAAATACAGAATAATTATTATCACAAACTGTAAGTTGAGACAAATTACTGGTGATTAAATGTTTTATTTCTTCAATTTTAAGATGCAAATCTTGTGAAGGTTTGGGTGTGGCTTGTTTCTGCTGACCTCTATTCATATTATGTGTCTGTGTGTGCGTGTGTGTGTGATTGTGTGTGTGTGTTGTGTGTGTGTGTGTGTGTGTGTGTGTGTGTGTGTGTGTGTGTGTGTGTGTGTGTGTGTGTGTCCAAGTTTCTAGTGCAAAAAGACCCCCCACTCCTCCTATTTTACGCCCCCTGCCCTCTCCTGGTACACTCGCCCCTTCCCCCGGGCCCACAGGCTTCCTCTGGGGGGCTAATTGTGTGATGGTTTGCTCATTGTCAGGATCAGGTCAGGCAACAGGAGTGTTTTCACAAAGCAGACATCTGCTGTGCTCTGCTGCCGTTTTCAGCAGTGACGTAATGTCCTGTGGCAGGTCTCGTCCATGCAACCCCGTTGGATTGGTTGTACAGGAGAGGGCAGGGGGATGGGCTGTGATCAGAGCTTGTGGGGGTGGGGATTGAATTAGAGGCTTATACTTGGGGACAGAAAAAAATAATGCTGCTAGCTGGAAGCTGGTTTCAGTTCCCTGCAAAAACGTAACATTCACGGTTAATTTCACACTCAGTGTTTCTGACCTGGAGGATGCGTGGAAATAAATCCACGGGACGACGAAGTGTAATCTTCAGATATGACTATATCTATAAACCTGTTTGGCTTCCTGTTAAATCCAGAATTCAAAATCCTGCTCCTCACATACAAGGTCTTAAATAATCAGGCCCCATCTTATCTTAATGACCTTGTAGTACCATATCACCCTATTAGAGCACTTCGCTCTCGCTCTGCAGGCCTACTTGTTGTTCCTAGAGTATTTAAAAGTAGAATGGGAGGCAGAGCCTTCAGTTTTCAGGCCCCTCTTCTGTGGAACCAGCTTCCAGTTTGGATTCAGGAGACAGACACTATCTCTACTTTCAAGATTAGGCTTCAAACTTTCCTTTTTGCTAAAGCATATAGTTAGGGCTGGACCAGGTGACCCTGAATCCTCCCTTAGTTATGCTGCAATAGACGTAGGCTGCCGGGGATTCCCATGATGCACTGGGTGTTTTGTTATTAACCTCTGTCTCTCTTCCACAGCATGTCTTTATCCTGTCTTCCTTCTCTCACCCCAATCACAGCAGATGGCCCCGCCCCTCCCTGAGCCTGGTTCTGCCGGAGGTTTCTTCCTGTTAAAAGGGAGTTTTTCCTTCCCACTGTCGCCAAAGTGTTGGGTTTTTCTCTGTATGTGTTATTGTAGGGTCTACAGTAAAGCACTGTGAGGCGACTGTTGTTGTGATTTTACGCTGTATAAATGAAATTGGCAAACTGTTGTCCTGGATGCCTACAGCACATCTGGGTTATTATTTATTAGCCATATTTACAGGACTCCAGGGTAAATAAATGGACTGAATGGGAGTTTAACTGGAATCCAGTTCTTTGGTGTGGTATGGTTTCTCTGGGTTCCTTCATATTAGTTCACAATTATATTTACTACTCACACCAGCCTGTCAGTCGGAGAAATGCTGCCCTAGTATAGCCCATTACCTTATGGATTGTTTGCGGGCCTGCACTGGGGGCTGTTAAAGGAGAGGCCTGGCAGCAGGGCCGAATGAGGTCTGATCCAAATCAATGTGTGATGGTGCAGAACCTTGAGCTCCATTAGCCCGCCTGAGCTTTAACTTCATATTGTGGTCTGGAATACATTCACTAGGCTGTCTATCTCTGGCACTCTCTCTGTCATGGCTTCCTACTAGCAATCAACTTCTTTACAAATCAGGGGTCAGTGTTAGTTCAGTGTGTGATTGCACGCTTTAAAGTTCGGCTCCGTGCAGCCCCGGCCTCACTAATGCATTCGCTGCTTCACCCAAAATTAGATTTAGGCAGGAGTTTCATTTTCCACGTCTTGGTGGATTTCTGAAAGCTGGAGCAGGAATTAGAGAATGATGCCGGACAGCCTTTGCACAAACTCGAATGATGACACTTCCTTTAGAAATCGCTTTGAACCTCATTTAACCGGTTTCAAAGCCAGATGGTTGGAGCTCATTTTGATGTGCAGAGTACTTGAATCTGACAACAGCATTGCCTCTACAAATAAATGTAACCTCAGCAAGCGTTCAGACCCAGTGCCCAATGGTAGTGCTGCGTGTCAGCATCCGTGAATGTCACATTCCTCCCTGCGTTCACGTCGGGTGCACTTTGTGCATATAAATTCTTGATTTGGGATATTACCGAGACCTGGGACTTTTCGAGTGTTCCCACCCTCCAGGCAGGAATAAGAACAAATTAGACGCTGGGGAGAGGCTGTTTCTGAAGCATTCCTCCAAAATGACCTAGAGCTATGTTTACCCTTTACTCAATGTGAAATGTAAGACTTAAAGATGTTGATCTTTGCTTGATACTCGAAAAGCTGGGAGATTAAGACCTTGATGCTTTCAATGTTATCAGAACTAAGAGAGTCTTGTTGTATCTGTAGAGATCTTAGGGACTCTCGGGGGCACGTGAGCAGCGAGGTCGTCTGTTTGAAATGAGCTTAAGACAAAATTTGAGCAGATGTGTTATCCCAGTTTCTTTCCAGTGACACCCCCACAATACATCAGCCTTTACTTAATCCTGCCGGAGCTCATAATGGAGGTCTTAGATGATCCGATATTGCAAATCCACTCTATCTTTTCCTGCATGCACACACACACACACACACACAGACACACACTGCTTTGGACCAAATTCCTGAATCAAGCCAAAGTACGGGCCGGAACAGCTGATTTGCCGTCTCGTGTCCTGTTGGAGGAGAAAGTTGGACGCAGCTCTTGCCGCGCTGTGAACGACTGTTTGCCAAATGGAAGCTGTAAAAAGTTATTGTCGCGGGCGTCTCCTTAGCGCTCTGTCTTTGTGGGAATATCGTGTCAGAATTATAGGCCATTTTGCCACAAGAGATAAAAAGCTGTCACTGCAATATGGCCCTCGTACATCCACACCCTGATCTCAGACCATCACAGGGGATTTCCTGCATTAAGAGAACAAATAATGTGTTGTTGTGGAACTGAGTGGGGGCGAAACTGTAGTTTCACTTTTCCTTTGTGTTGTTGTCCCAGAATGTAAGACGTAGGTTTTTTTTAACCTTTGTATCATTAATTATCCACCCAGGTCGGTTTCACGTAGACTGCTTTCATTATTCGGGGACCTCTCGAGGTTTTATTAAAGCAGGCAGATTCCTAAAAATGCATTTTATATGTAAAGGTTTCAATATGTGTTTAAATATACAACAAATCAGAGTCGCTGTGACATCATTTTAGTAATTAAGTTTTGTCAGAGCCAAATCCCGAGGACAGGCCAGCCAAATAAAGCTGCAGCTCACTGCACGTCTGTGCATGTCCAAGATGTCCCGATCCAAGCCAGTGATCCCACGTGCTGGTGATTAGTGTAGACGCCATGCAGCCTGGCACATAAGCGTGCAGCGTGTGTGAACGACCTCTAACTGCCCTCACCCACAAAATGTCAGAGAATATACGTGAACAGCAGTTAAAGGTGTGCAAATGTAACGTGGAGGCTTTTGGGTTTGTGCTTTTGCAGCTACGCTTTGGCAGACGAGGCCTACCGCTCGCTGAGGGACCAGGACAAGGACCAGTGCATTCTCATCACAGGGGAGAGCGGAGCTGGGAAAACTGGTAAATGCTCAGTTTTTTTTGTTGTGTCATAACTTCAGAGCAGGTAACAGGATCACCTCACCACACTGAACGAACACCTTCAATCAGGCTCTAACAGAGTGTCTCACACTTCATGTGCTCAGCGGTCCTTTGTTTTAAATGTAGTCATAACTTGTAAAGAAGCCGATAAGGGCTGTGGGATGTAATCCTCCATAAAAGGGAGCTGATGTCAGTTTTGTTTTGAGAACATCGTGTTGGGACATGAAACTAGATAATGACTCTGCTCACATAAAGTCATGGCGGTAGACATATTACAGCAGCAAACACACGGCTGTGGTTTCCTCATATTTGTGAAATTATGTATATTCAGAGCCAGTCAGTCACATTCACACTGTTATGAACACTTAAAGGCTGGACTTTCCATCAGACTGAAGCCTTTTTCCATATTGTGTGGTTTTTATGATGGTGTATCCATGTTCTGGAGCAGTTTCACATACTGTACAGAAACACAAGAGGATGGTATTTCCTGTGCTGTGTCACAGGTAACAGCAGTATGCCTCTGACTGCGTGTTGGCTCTGGGAGTGCTGCTGCAGCTCAGTGCAGCTGCAGACATTCATTCATACTTTGAGTTCAAACTCTGACCTGTTCGCACGGCCAACGTTGTCCCGAAGAACGTTCTGGCTCGGTGAGACGTGGCAGCAGCCCGAGTAAGCTGTACAAAATCCCTACATGCATTTATAAGGCTGTGCAAAACAACCTTAATGACCTCAGACTGTTATGTTTTCATTTTTCTAAAGCTGTACTTTATTTGTCGTATTTTTGAGGGCTTTTCAGACCTCTCCATCATCCTACATCACCCCCTAAAAACCTGAATACACTGAACACCACATGTTTAAGCAACAAGTTGCATTATTAATAAAGCTAAGAAGTTCCAGCATATCAATACATTTCCTTTGTGTAACCTGCTTTCAAACTGTTGCTATGCTGATCTCTGACAGGAGCTCCGATTTCCCAGCAGAACTTTGCCTGCAGCCTTTGTCAGCACTGTGTAGGAATACATGTTATGCATAACCAGGATTATTTCCCGGTGATGCATCAGTGGCGTCCACCACGGGGGGCACAGTGCAGTCAGACCGGCCTTGTTCTGTTCTGTAGGATGCACCAGGCTTTATTCCAACTCCAAACCTCTCCTGGTTGTTGGAGGGAAAAGAAGAAACGACTCCGAGGAGCCGTTTCTGCAGCCAAGTCGGAGATAAATTTGGATTTCGGTAATCTCATCAGCCCCGAAGCTCTGCAGTGAAACGAGGCCATCAAAACCAACCCTATTGATATGGGTCATTGACATTAAAGTGTGATAGGGGTTTCTTTTTCAGGCTCTCTCTGACTGTGGCTTCTATAAAGGGGATGTGACCAAAATTATTATCAGATGCCATCTCAGTGTGCAGGAGACAAAACAGTTTTTATTGTCTGCAGACGGAGTACGTTTACTTTCCTAACCTGAGAGATAACAACGTGAGGATTAAAGTCCTCAGCTTGTAACTCAGAAAAGTTTTTTCCTACGTTTAGATAAAAGTACGTGTCCTGAGCTGTTTGCCAGACTAATCAGGAATCTGTACCGACGACTGCTCTGAAGGTCTTTCCTGTCCTTGCCTGGCACGCCGCACGCATCGCCGGTTCTGGGTCACCGTCCTCTCTCTGGTCAGGAGAGACGATCCTGATGCCAGCCGTCGTCCGACGAGGCTTGTCGCTTGTTCAGACAGGACATGTAGCTTTTTGAGCCAAGCAGAGAATTATTTTTGGGGAAACGTGTCTTAGTTGCAGCACGCTGTGCTGGAGCATTTTTAAATCACTTTCAGCTCCACAGAAAGTTTTATTCCCGTGCTTTCCCCTGGCTTTCAGTGTAATCATAGTATGAATGATGATAATGTGATGCAATTCTGGTCACCGTGTAATTTAACAAAGCAAGTCTTTATAACGGGACCTCCTCCTCTGCTCTGCACCCTAACGAACGATCCACACCCTGCTCTGATGGCTGTCGGGGGGGATGATGTAAGGGGGATTTTTATAGGGGATGGTGAAACGGGTCGACATCTCTGCACTTGTCCCTCAGTCATGTGGATCACATTATATTTATCTGTGTGTGTGTTTCAGAGGCCAGTAAGCTGGTAATGTCGTATGTGGCAGCAGTGTGTGGGAAGGGCCACGAGGTGAATAAGGTCAAGGAACAGCTGCTGCAGTCCAATCCCGTGCTGGAGGGTGAGTGAAGATGCCCAAGCTGCGTCCCAATTCAGGAGCTGGGTTGTCTGAAGTTCACGTTTGGAGGGTGGATGTGTGTTGAGGGGCTGCCAGAGCTGCTCTAATTCAAGAGATCTTCAAAGTGCAGCTGAGAAAAGCAGCTTTCTTTACTCGGCGTTTAGGAAACGAGAAGACTGTGCAGGATATTTGCAGCCCGACTGTAAATGCACTGCAAACCGCTGCATGAGAGCGTTTAATGATGGTCTTTGATATTTTGGCTTGATTTCCAAATGCACAATACACCAAAACAAAAATGCAAATGCAAAGCTCCTGGCAGTTAGTCACACAACCTACAAAACATTTCTTTTAGCTAGCTTAGCTAATCTGTAAACACAGATGATTATATAACCATGGAAATGTAATCACAGGCAAGTTAACTCATCCGCAAAATAACTTTAGGGATCTTATAAATACTGTATAATACACTCTTTTATTTTCTTAGCTAAACGGGACGCTACACACACACACACTCATTCCCACAGCTCAGTTCTGGCACGCAAACAGCTGTATTTTAATTGGGGGCAGTGGACAGGAAATGCCCATGAATGATGAAGCTGTATGCCCGGGTTGCTGCAGAAAACCCTGCACATCTGCAAGAGTTTAGCTCACGTCAGTCTAATTGCCCTAACACTGAGAAGGGGGAAAGGGAACAGAGTCACGCTTAACACGACGGATCCGTCACGCTCGCGCTCTGCGACACGATACGTGTTGGTTTCATTCTTTGTCGCCCTCGGTTTCTTTTCATTTACGTCTCTTTATCTTCCTCCAGCCCTCTCCTTCCCCGTCCTCCTCTCCCTCTGGCTGCCATTGTGCCAGACTAGCAGCCCACACATTCACAGCAACCGCCGACTTAAACGCACATTAATCAGCTGTTATCAGCAATTAAGCAGTCATGCTAATAGCGCTGTGATGCGTGACACGTTAATGGCATCTTTATGTAGAAATGTGGTGTGAAGCCAATGGAAAGGTCGTAGCAGGGAGATGTTCTGAAAGGCCTGATTGTGCACGAAACACAAAGTTGTTTGTGTCAAAAATGAATATTTAATGAACCCTTTAGTTACGTTTATTTACAAGCAGGAGCCCGCATTGAAGCACTTTTTGAACGTGGCGTGACATCAAGGTTCAGCCCGCCCTAAGCCTGGAAAGCCCTGGTGCTTTGCTTAATCCACCCAGAATTATGGGGCCTCATCAGTACAAATGGCTTTGACATCCAGGCCATGTATGATTGACAGCTAGCTGGACTCGGGCACGAGGTTAGGGATCATTATGAAGGTTTTGAATATTCTTAATGGCCTCTCTGCAATGCATCGGCGGTAACTTTACTCTGAGGTTATTTGCACAAGCTTTGCATTATTTGTAAAGCTTTCTGAATCCATTAGTTTAATTATTTGTGTCTGATTTTTCTTTTTTTCCTCTCTTCAGCTTTTGGAAATGCCAAAACTGTAAGAAATGACAACTCTTCCAGATTTGTAAGTATGCAGGACGAGCTTCTGTGGTTTGGAAAGATGATCTCGTGACACACATTCTTTTTCAGAAAGCTTTTATTTCTTGAATACTTGGTGTGCATGTCCTGTGTGCTTATACTGTTTGTGTTTATGGCAACATTACTCCAGAACGTGTTTTCATGCATGTGAGGTAGTTTGACTATCATGCATGTGAATATGTTTTTTCAAATACAGGTGATATTTCTTGGTGTCCTCCCTGTGTTCCCATGTAATCTGAGACCCTGGATCTTCCCAGTAGACGGGTCCACACGCCCCCTCAGTCTGAGCAGGCTTTGCACATTTGATATAGTACATGTGCACATGCCTCAGGAAATGCTCTTTACATAAAGCGAGCAGGACGAGGCCTTTCACCTACACTGCGCCGCCCGTTCCTCTGCGTCTCGTATCTCTCTGAATCTGATTGTTGGAAAAGCAGGAGAAATTTAATGCCCATCTCTAACATAGGTCTGGCGTCATAAGGGTGATTAAGTAGCTGCTTTGGTCCTTGGAGACACACACACACACACACACACACACACACACACACACACTGCAATTTCAATGTTACAATGTAACATTATGTAACTGCAGTTGTAACATTGCCTTTGTTTTCCTCAAACTGCCCGGTTCAGTATTTTGGGGACGTCTGATCTCCTGTGATTTCCATCGCTGTTCATTTCTAAATGTTTCTAACATGAATGTTTAGTTAGCTGCAGTTTCTTCAAAGAGAAAAAGTCACTTCATCTTAGCAGCTGGCAGTCCATCCCAAAAAAGTCTATTTCAGTAACACCCCAGCCCCCCAGGACTGAACTTTGCTTTCCTTCTTGTGCCTGACGCTCGATTATTGTAAAAGAAAACGATTCTCCCAGCATGTGCCAGCTCGCAGGCGAACTGCCAACCTACCTGTCGTGTCCCAGTTTTTGTGTCACCGTGCACACGGTTTTTAATCATCCGCCTACTTTTAGATGGCAGCACATGCCGGTGCACGGACATGCAGTTGTAGCGGTGAGCGTTATAACGGATTATGACCTGATCTGTTTATATTTAGCTAACCTTCGCAGCAACCTCAGGCCCGCTCACCAGATATCAGCTCATCAGAGCGCCATCGGTTGATCAGAAAACTATAAGTCAAGCTGGCTCTTCATTTTGCTGAGTGCAGCAGGCTTATTGAGTTTGGCTAAAACCCATTTACCAGCAGAGCTCGGCCTGTTCAGAGGAGCTGTCTGCTATTAATACATCAGAGGAGGGAAAAAGCCCAAACACAGGACTCTCTGTCTCAACTTGCAGGTTTCAGAGAGAGTCCGAAAAAAGGCCTGAATGTCATTTTTTTAAAAGAGGCCACGCCTCCCTGTTATCTTTAGGTGCTCGGAGTCCTTACACTTCTCCGACCGACTGAATCTATACGACGTTTTTAAAAATAGACGATGGCAATAAAATCTAACTGCTGCTCTTTGACCCTCAGGGAAAGTACATGGACATTGAGTTTGACTTCAAAGGAGATCCCCTGGGCGGAGTCATCAGTAACTGTGAGTAATAAAATGGAAAGAAAGCTTCTTTTTTTTTTCCTGATTGATATTTTAAATATTTGTAAATCACATTCCTCAGAAAACGCCGTCATTCCAGCCTCGTCTTTCTCTCCTCGGCTCCTTGGCAGTGTTTTGGTTTGATCTCGCCTCTGTTCACATTGTTTTGTCTGAGCTGGTTTCCCCGGCAGAGGTCACAGAAACAAAGACGGAAGCTGACAGCCGAGGCACAAATGAACCTCTGTCTGCTCGCCTGAGTCAGTCAGACACAAAGATGGTCTGTGAGAAGCAGCTGCTGACATGTGACTTGGTCAGACCGAGCTGGCTAGCTACACGGCTGCTCTTCCAGGCCTGGATGGATTCCTGTCCGCTCATTATGTTTTAGACGAACATCCTCTGAGCCTTCGCTGCTTCCTACAGCCGAGAATAGCTGGTTATGATTTATGAGAAGTTCTCAGTAGCGTTGGTAATGATAGTGGGGAGACATTTTTGGCATGCCTTTAGTCACAACATAACACAATATTGTTCCCGCACGGATGCTTGAATGTGTGTTTGCTTATCTGAGGCTGAGGGAACATTAAATAAACGCTGTTCAGGAGGCTTTGCAGCAGAAAGTGGAATCCTTCCTTCTCTTCAAAGTAAAGCTGAGTACTGAGTGTGGCTGGACATGGCTGTGCTCAGGTCACTTCGCTGCCCTGCCCCTGTGTCTGTCTGTGATGGAGGAACTGGTTTTCAGTGGCTTGTCTTGTCCTCTCTGTATCTTTAATCACAGCTCTGTATTGCTGCTGACAGCCACTCAGTTGTGGATGTTGTATTATTGATGTGCAAGCTCTCACGGAGCCACTAACGTGATTCTAACCCCGACAGCCCCGGGGCTGCAGCGACCTCTAGTTCGGTGCTTGCAGTGGAGCCACGACCACAGATCTGTGAGTCGGTGTTTAAACAGC